AACTTAGAAAGTTCGATTCCCGGTCTTCGAGTTAAACCGAAAACATAATAATTAAATTGGTAAATCTCACGATTTCTTGACTTGAGCCTTGGGAATTAAAATATCCGTAAAATATTCTTTAGATACTTGCCAAAATGGTGTTAATGCTAACAAGCAAAATTAACCTCTACTACCATTACATAACTTTGGAAAAGAAACGTAACTCATAACATAACATAACATCACGCCTTTTTATCCCCGAAGGGGTAGGCAGAGGTGCACATTGCGGCACTTAATGCCACTGTACAATGTAACACCCACTTTTCACTATTTATGTTACGAGTCCCATGTAATAGGGGGTGAGCCTATTGATGGCAATAGGCTCACCCCCGGAGCCTGGAAATGTGCCCGGTATATGGATACCGGGCACATTTCCAGACTCCGTGATACTACTGAGATTTTTAAAAAACAAAAACGTAACTCCTATACAATTATTTTTAAATCTTTTTTCTCTTTAGGAACAAACCAAGTACACGATGCGTCTGATAATAAAGAAGATAGCGGAAGCAGACGAAGGGGACTACTTCTGTCACGCGGAGAACGCGTTTGGAAAGACTTTGAGACCGGTCTCTGTGAGACTCAGGCCCACCATGCCTCACCATAATGTCACAGCATGCTGTACACAAGTAAGTTGAGTTTTTGGAACATTTTTTATGAAGCACAAACGAGCAAACAAGTTACCTAGTTGTAACCAATCTATGCTGGCCATGGACCGCCAGAAGAGTTACTAGTGCGTTCCCGATCTTCTGGGATGAGGGATTTGGATTTTGGGGGTCCGATAACTTCATTCTTTATTCGGTGCAACACAAGAAGTTTTTCACGCCGGTTTTCTGTGAAGCCGTTTTCTTTGAGCAGATCCGCTCGACTACAACGATAATTCATATCGCAGCATACGTGAATATATTATGTCAAAGAATGGATAGGGTAATAATAAACTACGAAATCTGTAATGCTCCCATTGGTATACCTACCTCTATTTCTATAATAATGGACAATGTCTGAAATGTACTATAAAATAAATATAGATACCTAAGTATTGTTATAAATGAAACCTCAAATACCATAGAACTCCCCGTCAACAAACGCCAGTCAAAACTCCAAACTTAACGTAGAATAACTTACAAGACAATCGAAATTAGACAACGTTACGTCCTACACAAATACCAACCAATCCGGTGACAATTTCAGCCTTAATTTAGAAGGTTCAACATCTAAATATAAACTATGAGAAACAGTAGCCACTGAGACCTTCGAAAACATTAATTTTGGAAGGTTTCTCGATAATTTGATGTGTTTGGGACTCGAACGAAGTTGATCTTATTTGTAAGTTTGATACCAACAGTTGTTTGTCGAAACGTGTCTTGGAACAATATTAGGGAAGGTACAGGAGTATGAAAACAAATTAAGTTCTGAATGGAATTTGCTCTCTTGTCTGATTACTATTTTTAGTCTGTTTTTGTTTTGATATCCATAGCAGTTTGACATTTTGTTTCGTTACTAATTGTTGCATTTTCCCTTACGATTTGGTTTTCTCTTGTTAAAATTATTGTAATCGATTTTCTGCATACGATTTAAAACTAAAGAAAATACTAAACTTAGTTCTTTGCACAAAAACAAAGTATATCTATTAAATGCATAGTTAGATAGAATTACCTCTATGATATCCACAGCAACTGGCAGAGGTTACATCGACCTTCTCAAGCTATTAACAAAAACGAGCTAGCGACGATGTTGATGATGATTGTTCATATACTTGTTCTCTCTGTTCAGATGAACGTGTCATCATACTGCATAGACGCGTGCAGCTTCCACCTGGAGATGGACAACATCATGGACCGTCCCGAGTGCATGAACGACTTCGACAAACTCATGAAGTGTGCTGCTGATGGATCTGGTAAGTATCTCCTGATAGTTTTTCTTCCACGACCTTTAAAAGAATTGTGGAATATATTCCGTCTTATCCATTTAAAACAAATCCTTCTGTAAAATTATTTTATCTTGCTTCGGTTTAAGCAGGTACTAGTTTAATATAGGTACTTATACCATTAAAATATAATTCAGTACATCTGTAGGATTCAGAAATGTGTTCATCAACAACTGTTGGTTTTCCAAATTGTTAAAAAAATGGAACCCTTGTCACCAGACCACCGTAGTTGCTGTGCATCATGGGGTGTACCCCGTCAGTGTCTGGAATTATGCCGTGGCGGCGTGGTATCACGCTCCTGTGCCATGCATCACGCGCGTCGTGCGCTGGCGTGCTTCAGAGACGCCGGTCCACGCCTCCCTGGACCACCACGAAACTTGCGCGCGCATCATGCGCCCACACCCAACTCTGTACTGCTCAGGTAATTTATTATTTAAATGCATCTCCTAAAATCACCTACCATAAGCAATATTTTCTTTATGGGATTCTTCTAATTAAAGCCTGTAAATCTCTTTATTCTTGTGCCTGGTCTCTATTCAATCGTATCGGATTGACCCATGATCAGCAGATTGTGTAAATGTGAATAAATATAAAAACAGAGCGTAGACCACGTACTCAACACACTCGAGCCCTTTAATCTACTGTAAAATTAGCTAACTTCGAACCGAAATCACTAACAAACATTATGACAATTTCTCTAACCAAAAACCATTTTGACACAGTTGGGAGCCTCCACTAAAGAATCCTCAGACGGTATACCTGTACCGCGTGTTCTGGCGAGCGTACGGTGCCAAGGTGCCGGAGAAGCTAGACACCAGCGAGACCAGCGTAGTACTGACTGGTCTGCAGGACGATGTCAAGTACGAGTGCGTGGTCAAGGCAGCTAATGATGTTGGTGAGTAGACAGAAAGTCCAGAACAATACAGGTTGAAATTAATATTCAAATTAGTCCTTCGAAAAGTACTTTTAATAAAAAAAAGATGTGCCAATAGTTTGTTGTGTGGTGCAGTCTGCCCCACAAAAGTATTTTACATTTTCTTTTGCGTATCATATTAGATTTTATTAAATGAATATCAATTAGAAATCACCAATTTTCTAATAGAAGTTCTTAGAAAGGAAGACAATATTTTAGAAACAGCAGTATTGTAAACGTTTAATTTAAGTCTAGGCAATTTGCTAAATCTCTTTACGGTCTCTTTACCAGGTACATCCTCATTGAGCTCGCCGATAATGTTCACGACGGCGGGCCAGGAGACTGGCGCCGCGGCCGCGCCCGTCAACAGCGGCGGCGCGGCACCGGCTGTAGGCGTCGCCGTCGCATGCCTACTGGTGGCTGCCATACTACTCGCTGCAGGCTTCTACTATAGATATAGGAAGGTAAGGAAAAGATACTTGTATTTAAAAAGAAGGTTGATTAACCTTTGATGATGTTTATTATATAGATACTAATGCCAATTTTTCTCTTTCAGAATCTTAGACTTAAAGCACAAGGAGGTGTAGCATTTGAAAACCCAAGCTACCTCAGGGAACCAAATCCTGATACTGCCGTCAACGTAAGATTTCATTTATTATTTTTATACAATATTACTTAATGTTCATCCATCTAACTAAATTTTCTTTTTAATTTTTTTTAGGGTACAGTGCCGAATGGCACCGCTAATGGCTCAAATGGCACCAACGGTGTGGCACCAATGGCCAATGGTGTGTCAAATTCAGCGGCCTGGAGACAGGAGACCCTGAATAACCCTGGAACTACAATCCCGAACGCTCGGGAGGTAGACCCGACGCTGTACGAGGAGCTGAAGTTAGGGCACGACGGGGCAGGGTTCAAGAGACTGAAGCCATAGCCCGAGGTTGCGCGTCGCTCCCCGCTCCGCTCGCCGCGGGTGGCGCCGCGCTACTGAGCGACCACAGCGCCGCCCTCGCATACACTACGCAACACGACATTGTTCTTACTTTCTCACTCCAATGATTTCATTCTTAATTCAAAGTGACAATTGTTTTTTTAATAACGTGAGTTGTAGATACATTTAAAAATTTCATTCCATCGGTAATTATTTTGTAAAGTTCTGTGCAAATATTATGTCTACCTTTTTAAAATGTTTTTTTTAAATGACAGTTAAATTCAAACGATTCGTGTTCGAAAAAAGTGAGCGAGTGATCCAATATCGCGTACATTGAACTGTAGTGTTTCTGTATATTCAGATAGTTGAAGTGACGGAGCGGAGTGTAGATAATAAAATATTACGTATAATAATAAAAAAAGTAATTATATTTTCAGTATCGTACTTGTTGTGATTTTAACCAAAAAAAGAAGACCTCATACCTTCTTGTCATTTCATGTAAATATTTATAACTCGCCAACGCAGTGGCTACAATCATGTTACTGTAGAATGATTTACACTGTCGTTGGCTGGTATTAAGACGGAGTTTCTCTTACGCGTTCGACACAAAAAAATACGTGCAATAAAAACAGAACAGTTCCACAATTATTTGTAAATATTGAATAGCTTTTGTGGGAACGCGTGTAAGAAGTTTCGTCGTGAAGTTCTGTAGATCACTAGCTTCAGATAAAGACAGAATAAAATTAGGTCATTCTATAAACAAAGATGTGCCTTCAAATGTTTTATGAACTAATTAGTGATAGCTTAGTTACCTGTTCGGCCTGTAAATTGTATCTAGTGTAAATATATGTGTACACTAACGTTCAATAGTCATTTTGTACAGAATTTGAGAAAAGTCGATAAAAAAAATTTGAAAAAACAGACCTGGAATTTTTTAGTCAAATCGCAACAAAAAAGGTTTGACTTATCGAATAAAAGACTTTTCTCTGTAGTATATTATTATGAAGTAGTTTTGACAAGTGATTCTGAAACAATCTTTGTAACAAACAATAAATATTTAGGACATTTTGATAAAATATAAAAAAAACAACTAAAAGTATTGTAAAAAAGTTTTCGGATGGCTCTGCCATATCAGTTAAGATTATTTTGTAATAAAATATGAAATGTTTCCTTTCGTTCTAAGTAAAGATCATGACCTAATTTCGATATAAAAATAAAATCTTGGTAAATCACACTATGTATGTACGTCACTTTTTAAATGAATTATTTTTTTTCGTTAAAATGATCTCATTGCTGACCATTCCATTGTTTGTCGCCTTGAAGGTTAAAAAAAACTTGATTGTTACAACAACAATAAAAAAAATATCATTCTCTATACGCGTAGAAGAATCATCATCTTTATTTTTTAAATAATTTTCTTTTATTTGAAAGAAAATACATTTTTTAAGAGAAAAAAAAGTAAAGAAGTATTTTTAAATAAGAAAAAAAAGTGTACGAATAAAAAATGTCTCCTTTGGTAAACTATGGCCTAAATCTCGTACTACTCTCAAATATCTTGGACATAGTGTGAGGAAACATTGCTCAGATGTGATTGATAGTTTAATTTAGCACTTCTATCAAACTAATTGTATAATTTAGATGAACAAAAGGATGTGATTAGATTTGTAAATAATATTAATAAAAAGGACAAATATGTTTTTGATTTGTTTCATTTCAAACATTACATGACAACACGCCTTTTATCCCCGAAGGGGTAGGCAGAGGTGCACATTATGCCACAGTACAATGTAACACCCACTTTTCACTATTTATGTTATAAGTCCCATGTAATAGGAGGTGAGCCTATTGCCATATACCGGGCACAATTCCAGACTCCTTGCTACTACTGAGAATTTGTAACAAACCTAGTAATACTTTGCCCGACCTGGGAATCAAACCCGAGACCTCTTACCCGGCAGTCGCTATTAAAATTATTTATCAATAAGTTACGTCACATGTTAAAGTCCATACAACAACAAAAAGAATAACCTCAGTCTCATTCTGTGTACAACAACTTAGTCTCCACAAAACAGCACTTAAATCTAAGAAATGTAGGAAACGAGTCGACGAGAAATAACACAGTTTCAGACAGCTAACAAAATGTCTGTTGCTTTGTAACTTAACAAGTAAAATATACCCTATACTTATTACCAGTAAGCTCTATTTTCTTTCACAATGTATCATGGTACAAAATTGTCGTAAGTTAGTCTTTAATTTACGAGAAAATTTCTTGAGAAAAATCCTAAGTATTTGAGATTCTTTCTTTTTAATTTTTTTTTAAACGTAGCCCCAATTTGTTTCTTTCCCTGTATCGTGGGTGCGTTTACAAACATACAATTTCACATATATATGACCCGGAACAACAATTTGTGGATCACTCAAAGACTTGTTCCGTGCAGGAATCGAACCCGCGACACGTCGCCCAACTACCGCACCAACCTTGCAGCCATTAATGCCCCTTGTGGATATATTGTGAAATGAGTTGACTTAAAGTCTAAAAGTGTAAATAAAATAAATATTTATATTTCGACAGCCTCGACATAAGGGTTCGCCATAATCTCCACGGTTGGCAAACGAGTTGGAGATCCCAGTTTAAAATGTTCAGATTTAAAACAGCGGTACCCGGTCTCAGTCAAATATGTAATTCGTTAATCGGCTCTGACGACACCGGCACCCATCCATACAACGATACGACGCTCAAAATTCGATTTTCAAAATATTCCCCGTATACAAACAGCTATGTTTGTACCAAAAACCATAACAATTTTTTTTTCTTCTTCCTTAGCAACCGAGTCTCCACAATGGTGTTGTCGACTATACTGCCAGTGTCGAGTGGTGACGGCATAATTATTGGACCGTCGAACTTAACTTTGTGGTAGTTTTTAGTTGTTAGTCGCTGAAAGGACAGAACAATTGGGTTAGTAAACATAAACATTATCAACTATTTTATTGTATATATACAGTGGTGTAAAAAATAGTTGGGGACATACACAATATAGACAGATATTAATATACATCATTGGACACCGTCACATTTTGATCTCATTTCCAGTCATAAATTTACATAAACAAATAATTACTTTGTGGGAAAAGTGAGTTAAAAGGAGGTGGAAACTGATTGGGAGTGGGATTTGGATACTGGGAAGTTTTATGTAGAGGTCGCATTCCAAATTAAATTAAAAAAAAAAGTGATACGTTCTTAATATTGACGATTTTTTTTTAAATTTTTGTCATGCTTGTGAATAATGTCTTTGGTTCATAGATATAACAAAAAAAACTTTCCACAAACAGGAAATTTTTTTAAATTTAAATTATTAATGATGTACCACATTCTTAAGTCTACTTTTACTAAGCATTTTTTTTAAATACTTTCATGTTAAAGTTAAATTTTCGAAGATTACGTTATATGTATGGTCCCGCCATCCCAGTGTGTGGCAAAAAGAGCAAAGACGGTGACAAAATACATTCAACTGTCTAAATTAAAAAGTATCTTTAAAAAAAATACCAAATTACTGTTCAGAATCTGATTTCTACAACACTAGGTACATTGACCTTCCTAATTACATTTAAACACCACAAGCTCAAACGCTGCTCATTTATTTTATTTATAAACATTTAACCGGTTGTCCGCTAGCAATGTTTCAGGAGATATGCTCCATTATCCGGTCAATTAGGCCCCGACCACGATGCAATCCCATACAGGGTGGAGTAAATTGCTCAAAGTGAGACTCGCAGTATTACCTTCTGACTATAGTTCAGGAGTTGGAACCAACTTTTACATGATATGAAACGTACATTCCCAAAAGTTTTAGAGGTACAAACGAATTCTGTGTGTGTGCATTTGGGAGTATCATAAACTGTTTTATGAGCGAATAGTTTTGGTATTTTAGTTCATGTTGCATTAAATTGTCAATGAAGTAATAATAACGAAAGAGGTATATAGTCCATAATCTTTGCCTACCCCCTTGGGAGACAGGCGTGAGGCCATAGATGAGATGATGATATATATGTATGTATGAAGTAATAATTGTGTTTATTGCGTGCGAGAGGACAGTCGAAACACTTAACCATAATTTTATCTGATTCGGTAAATCGGTGTCAATAAAAGAAACATAAGTGTTTGTTGACCGGTTCATTAATACCTAAAGTTATGGTGGCTACAATTGCTCATTGCAGAGTACGTGGATAACAAAACAATAGAGTTCAATATTTAACATAGAACATAGTATCTATGTACATTTTACAGTAGTAATTACAAAAACTTGCAAGACCACGCATTGCGCCTTTGTAAAGCATCAGTCAGTCTCCAACCTCAAGGGTAACCGGGGCACCGGCTCGACGTGCAGGAGAGGAACTGGGTGGTTTTTAGTCAAGTCAAGAGTCTGACACTCCCCCCCGCCTCGCCCAGGCAGGAGCAGACATTCGATGATTTTCCCCCCTTAAAAAAACCTGAACTAAAGCGCCATCTGCAGTTTAATTCCAACGTGGCAGTATAATGAATTAGGATCTCAGCTCCCGCAGCACAATAGATGGCAAGTTAAAGCCGCCAGCCACGTGGAAAGCAGCTACAATCGACACTGTGCACAAAGGTAGGTACTTTAATTATAGTTTAAACTGTCAAACACCAAGCGGTCACCGGTGACCGCAACCTATCTAAATATATAAAATTCAAAGGTGATTGACTGACTGACTGATTGACTGACTGACATAGTGATCTATCAACGCACAGCCCAAACCGCTGGACAGATTGGGCTAAAATTTGGCATACAGATAGATGTTATGACGTAGGCATTCGCTAAGAAAGGATTTTGATAATTTCCACCCCCAAGGGGGTAAAAAAGGGGATGAAAGTTTGTATGAGACTTTGTCAGTTTTAAACCGATCGGGTTGTAATTTGGCATGCAGATAGATGTTATGACGTAAGCATCCGCTATGAAAGGATTTTGATAATTTCCACCCCCAAGTGGGTAAAATAGGGGATGAAAGTTTATATGAGCCTTTGTCAGTTTTAAACCGATCGGGTTGTAATTTGGCATGCAGATAGATGTTACGACGTAGGCGTCCGCTATGAAAGGATTTTGATAATTTCCACCCCCAAGTGGGTAAAATAGGGGATGAAAGTTTATATGAGCCTTTGTCAGTTTTAAACCGATCGGGTTGTAATTTGGCATGCAGATAGATGTTACGACGTAGGCGTCCGCTGTGAAAGGATTTTGATAATTTCCACCCCCAAGTGGGTAAAATAGGGGATGAAAGTTTATATGAGCCTTTGTCAGTTTTAAACCGATCAGGTTGAAATTTGGCATGCAGATAGATGTTATGACGTAAGCATCCGCTTTGAAAGGATTTTGATAATTTCCACCAAGGGGGTAAAATAGGGGATGAACGTTTGTGTGAGGCTTTGTCAGTTTTACACCGATCGGGTTGAAATTCGGCGTGCAGATGGATATTATGACGTAAACGTCCCTTTAGAAAGGTTTTTGAACATTCTCACCCCAAAGTATGATACTTTGCCAGTTTTAAATTGATCGGGCTGAGACTTTGCATGCATAAAGTTACTATGACATAGGTATCTCTTTAGAAAGGATTTTGATAAATTCCACCCCTAAGGGGATAAAATAGGGAATGAGAGTTTGTATAAATCTTCTTAGCCGTTGAATTTAGAATCATTGAATCTTTTTGAATTACATTCGGTAAAACGATGATTTGGGACCTGGGTAACGTATGATAGTTTTTTCACAGATGTCTCACGAGAACGGGAACTATGCGTCAATGCCCCAGGACTCTCTAACTCTTAACCACTGAACTTATTCTAGAGAGATTCGGTACAACAATAGTCGATAGAATAGTTTTTATTACTCAAACCTTACGTGATCGGGCACTGTACTGGTAAGATCCCTGCGGGATTATTTATTTATTGAAACTACGATAAATCATTTCAAAATAGGTAAATCTTACTTGGGCACTGAATTGATTCTGGTTAATTCTGTCAGAAGTCATTAATCTACGCGGACGAAGTCGCAGGCAACAGCTATCTACACATATAATAAATCGTAGAAAAGTCAAAACTGTACATTGAATATTTTTTAAAAGAATATTTGAAGCGTGATCTCTAATCGATACCGAAGCCAATAATGTGGTTTTTAGAATTTTTGTCTGTTGGTCTGTATGTATGGCCGTGATGATCTCAAAAAGTACTGCACTACTATTTCAAATTTTGCATGAATATTACTAACAAGTCTGGTAAACATATAGGCTACATATTATCACGCTATCATCTACGGGACTGAATCAATTCTGACGACATCAATTACCGTAGAATATCCCTTGATAAAAACTAATTCAAAAGCCTAAATTCTGCCAGAAGTCATTATTCTACGCGGACGAAGTCGCGGGCAACAGCTAGTTGTTCTATAATTGTGTCTACAAAACCGGTACTCGACGAGTTAAATTAAAATACGTAATAATATAGTCTTCGAATGATCTGTCGTCGGCTGTATTTCCGAACCAATACGACCTTCAAACCGTCAAGAAAAGAGCGTACTCCTTTTTAAAAGGCCGGCAACGCTTCTGTGGCTCCTCTGGTGTTGCAGGTGTCCATGAGCATCGCTGATCGCTTACCATCAGGGGATCCGTCTGCTCGCAAACGAGCCTCCTA